ACATATGCAGACAAGAACAGCTAACGAATGCCATAAAATATTAATAATCAGAAATGTGAAGTTAGCTTCCATCATCTTCGATGGACTCAGAGATTCACTATTTTTTGGCTTTGAGGTATGATGGAATATAGATAAATAACTTTTGAACTATCTGCGCTTCTTTCAGTAGTGAATTAGCAGTTGGTCAATGCAACTTTTGACGCTCAATATGAGTCATTTGGAAACAGCCACTCTATGCTTTAAACATAGGGAGCGTACATCCGGCTCCCCTTACCCTGCAATGAGTGGGAGCCTTTGAGGTATTGGGGTGATATTTTTGTTGTTGAATATGTGAAGTTGATTGAGATTCAAGTCTTATTTTTATATCTTTTGTACAAGGCCTTTTATTAGTAGGCTTATAGCAAAACACAGTGATGTTATGATCTCCTAAGCCATTATGTTATCATGACTTAAGTGATGATGCGGAGGTTTGCAATGCAAACATGTGAGGTTCAATTCTAGAGACTATATCTAGTTTTTTACACTCCCCCTCATGCCCATGTACAAATCACACGCATCAAGCTTGTTTAAAAAAATATTTTATCCTGGGACCTCTAAGATACTTGTCAAGGTGTGTGAGTTGATTGAATCTGAGACATAGCTAGTGACGATGTGTCAAGATATCATCTTCTCTCACATAGACAGGCAATCCACTTCAAGGTGCTTAGTCATCTAGTGGTATACTGGATTTGGTGTGATATTGTTGCATTATTGCCTCACATTAGTTCCGTACTTCAACTCCTAGAGGAGATATTTTATCCATACGGTCTCGCATTCAGCAAGATTCATTGCACAATATTTCGCTTCAACACCTAATCTGGCAACCTCACGTCTTGCTTCTTCAGCTTCCAAGACAATAAGTTTTAACCAATAAAGATACCATACCCATAAGTGGATCGTTTTTCTATAGGACAGCCGGTCAAATCAGCATCAGAGCAGTGAATAAAACCCATTAGGCATCCTCTAGGTGGTAGACTGAAACCTAGCACCTAGGCAGTCTTAAGCAAAGATTGATCGGGGCCTATGCGGTCTTAGGTAGGAATAAGTCGTAGGTGGTTAAGGATGCCTAGCGACTAAGCGGCATAGATGGTCACCTCTTCTCGCCTAAAGCACCATAGGCGATGAGGTGAAGGTCTACCGCTTGGAGAGATGCAAGGTGGGTGAAGTTCAAATTGAGGCTTCCAGGTGTTTGCCTTGCATGCCTGACTTCTGGGCAAGAGGCGTTCGCCTTTGACTCGTGTATGTGATATATATGAGGGTAGCTTTCCAAGTCTCGAGATTGGTTGGTGAATAAGGCTCTTAATGTCAAAGTGGCTATGAAACATTTTGGGTTGGATCTTTAGACCCAAAAATGCCCAAAATTCTCATTCTTACAGTTTTGACTTAATTTTCCTTATTTGGTAAAATAAACGCGAAGGACTAATTGTCCTCTTATTTGGCATTTTCTACATATATCATTAATAAACTAAAATCAATCTCTTCTCAATACCCTTGGCCCAAAAATTCTGGGGGGCTACAATTTTCATGATATATTGGCTTCAAATAGACTCCTAAATTAATACTTGGAAAATCCTAATTATCCTTGGACGAAATAGACAAAGAAGAAAGCATCCAATATGACATTTGAAATGAAGAGGAAGCCAACCTGGCGAATAGTTAATCAATAGAGACAATACACTATTCAATAGTGAATTGTCAAGGGTCTTTTGAAAAGGAATTTCCTTCCTGATAGAATTTAGGATGGGGTAGAGACAACTGGACTGGGCAATAAGACACTTGGGTTGAACCACATTAAAAGATTGAATCCAATCGATTACTTAGTTCAACTCAAGAGCTTATATACCGATTATTTTGCTCTTAAACTTTCGATGTGGGATGACAATATGACATTCTAACACTCCCCCTCAAGTGGACAACCGGACCATTTTGAATCTAACCGGTTGACCACTTGGACTTCCGATGTGGGATGACACTCTAACACTTCCCTATGATGAGCTTAGAGCTTAGCCGAAAATGCAACAGTGAAAAGGAAGAAATCCATCATTAATGTCTTGAGTGAATAATAATTTGTCTCTATAATAATAGTTCTTGAATCATAGTACCCTTTATGTATTTCTAAGCATAGTGGCTGAATTTTTTTGTGGAAAATTAAAATTTGGCCGAATTTTTTTTTGTTTTCATAACCCATCATTAAGATGACTGGGAATGTTGTATTATAAAAAGGAGTTGATACTTGGAATAAATCAGAAAATGATTTGAGAAATATAAGAGTTTGCTCTTTGAGTGAATCTTGATTTTGAGTGTTCAATTTATATTCCCTTCCTAATCTTTTTTGAAAGCCAAAACAGCATTGCATTGCTTTAAATCAAATGGGAAACAAAGTCAGGGGTGCCTCCCAAACACCACTACAAGACATAGTACTACACGTGAGCGTGTCAGCAGCAGCATTACGCTCACAAACAATGAACGAAAACAAAACAAAATCAAAAGATAAAACCAGTTGCTTACAATCATCAATAAAAGATCCAAAATAAGATTCCAAGCTTCAGGAGTCACCTTGTCACAAAAACGTTGACTACCTGCAAATTGTCAGAGCATACCTCCACCAGCCGTACCTGTCGGCCCTTCAACAGAGAAACCCCTCTCTTAAAAACCACACTTCTGCTAACAGCAAATCAAATGGGCAATCCATAACTGAACAACACAGCCCCCATTGCAACATCGCCCGACAGAATAAAGAAGGCCGCATAAAAGAACATCTCAGCCCACCATGCCTACCCAAGCATAGTAAAAGCATCCACCTGCAGGTCTAGATCACTAACACCCAGCGGCAATGTGGATGCCATGGACAGAGTTCTCCCAATTGGGAGCCAGGGAGAACCTCAAACCAAAGTGTCTTTTCCGTTACAAATACACAGACCAACCCCTTCCTTGAGAAGGTCCTAAGCCGCCAGGATACTCCCCCAACAATAGCTCGGGTAACGCCCTAACGTGGCTTGAGGAAACGAGGTTTTCGGAAAACACCTGGTCTTAAGAGTGAGTAATATCTCTTATAATCTTATATTTCTACGTAGTATAATCATTCTTCCTACCTATTTTCTGAAATCCTACCTCCATTTAGTCCTTCAAATACTGCTTCTTTTTTTCGTAGGCAAATATATATAAGTAGGTTGGACCGAACAATAAACAACGAGGGATGAAAAGTATAAATACCCAAGCCCTGATTGACGAAACATGGGCATATGTCACCCATCTTAACGAAAAACGAATTGGACCAATTCTAGAAACTATGTCTACTCTTCCATAGGAAATTATTAGGAAGTATAATTAAATTAGGATACTTCTTTCCTTTCCTACTAGGATTATTCTTTCCTTTCCTACTTGTACTTTGATTACTCTTGTATTCCCTATATATAGGGCCATATCTCTCAATATTCAATAAGACAAGTTATTATCAAATTGTATCATGGTATCAGAGCTAAGGCTCTCAAAAACCTAGCCTCTCTTTTTTTCCGACCGCCGCCCATCATGGCAGCCCCGTCGGATCCTTTGGCGTCCTTACCCTCCGGAGTAAAACTTTTGCTTCGGAGTCTCCACAACTTAATCCCAGAAAAACTCACCGAAACAAATTATCCGGCATGGTCTTTCAATGTCCAGACAGCTCTTTCAGCTAATCTCCTCCTTGGATGGATTGATGGTCATGAAGCAGCCCCGGCGCCAACTATCTCCAAAAATGATAAAACCGTCCCTAATCCAGAGTATACCTCCTGGACCATCGT